GGCCCAAAGTCAGGTCGTCCAAGGAGGATTTAGTCCCACCAGTGTGCTCTGTTCGTTTCCTGAAATGCCTGTATGCTAATGCACGCAGCATGGGGAACAAGCAAGAGGAGTTAGAGGTTTGTGTGCGGGCTAAGGGTTATGATCTAGTAGCAATAACAGAGACATGGTGGGACAGCTCACATGACTGGAATGTGGCCATGGATGGTTATGTGCTTTTTAGGAAAGATAGGGCAGGGAAGCGAGGTGGTGGGGTTGCTCTTTATGTGAGAGAGCAACTAGAATGTATTGAGTTTCATGCAGGGGCTGATGAGGGGCATGTTGAAATTCTGTGGGTAAGAATTAAGGGGCAAGCAGGTGCGGGTGACACAGTTGTGGGGGTCTACTACAGACCTCCTGATCAAGGTGAGGAGGTTGATGAGGCTTTCTACAAGCAACTGAAAGCAGCCTCACAACTACAGTCGCTGGTCCTCATGGGAGATTTCAACTACCCTGATATCTGCTGGAAGACTCACACAGCCAGCCTTTCACAGTCTAGGAGGTTCCTCCAATGCATTGATGATAACTTCTTAATGCAAATGGTGGACAAGCCGACTAGAAGAGGAGCGCTGCTGGATCTTGTACTAACCAGCAAGGAGGGCCTTGTTGAAGCAGTGGTGGTCAATGGCAGCCTTGGCTGCAGTGATCATGAGATGGTGGAGTTCAGGATCCTGTGTGGAAGGAACAAAATACCCAGCAGGACCAGAACCCTGGACTTCCACAGGGCAAACTTTGGTCTCCTCAATCATCTATTAAGGGAAATCCCATGGGACAGGGTGCTAGAAAATAAAGGAGCTCAAGATAGCTGGTCAACATTCAAGGACCACTTCTTGCAAGCACAGGATCAGAGTGTCCCAATGGTTAGGAAATCTAGTAAGGGTGCTAGGAGACCTGCATGGTTAAAGAAGGAACTACTGGGCAAACTTAAGTGGAAAAGGAAAATCTATAGATCATGGAAGGAGGGGCTGGTCACTTGGGAGGAATATAGGACTGTTGTCAGAGGATGTAGGGAGGCAATTAGGAAAGCTAAGGCCTCCTTGGAACTTAACCTTGCAAGTCAGGTTAAGGATAATAGAAAGGGCTTTTTCAAGTACATAGCTAGCAAAACTAGCAATAGAGGCAATATTGGCCCATTGAGGAATGAGGTGGGAGCCCTGGTGACAGAGGATATAAAGAAGGCAGAGGTGCTGAATGCCTTCTTTGCCTCTGTCTTCACTCCTGCAGGGTCTCCCTATGAGCCCCAGATTCATATAGCCCCAGAAGAGGTCAAGATAGAGGAAGAGTTTGACATGGTAGATGAAGATTGGGTTAGGGATCAGTTGAGTAATCTGGACATCCATAAATCAATGGGTCCAGATGGAATGCACCCAAGGGTGCTGAGGGAGCTGGCGGAGGTCATTGCTAGGCCACTCTCCATCATCTTCAGTAAATCATGGGCAACAGGTGAGGTGCCTGAGGACTGGAGGATAGCAAATGTCACTCCAGTCTACAAGAAGGGCAAGAAGGAGGACCCGGGTAACTATAGACCGGTCAGCCTCACCTCCATCCCTGGAAAGGTGATGGAACAACTTGTTCTTGTCACTATCTCCAGGCACATCAAGGACATGGGGGTCATCAAGAGCAGTCAGCATGGTTTTATCAAGGGTAAATCATGTTTGACTAACCTCATAGCCTTCTATGAGGAAATTACTAGGTGGATAGATGATGGTAGAGCGGTAGATGTGGTTTATCTTGATTTCAGTAAAGCATTTGACACCGTCTCCCACAGCATCCTTGTAGAAAAGTTGATCAGGTATGGGTTTGGTGATCAGGAAGTGAGGTGGATTAGGAACTGGTTGAAAGGAAGGAGTCAGAGAGTTGTAGTCAATGGGGCAGAATCTGGTTGGAGGTGTGTGACTAGTGGAGTCCCACAGGGGTCGGTACTGGGACCGGTGTTGTTCAACATCTTCATCAACGACCTGGATGAGGGTATAGAATGTACCCTCAGCAAGTTTGCTGATGACACTAAGCTGGGAGGAGTGGCTGACACACCAGAAGGCTGTGCTGCCATTCAGAGAGACTTAGATAGGTTGGAGAGTTGGGCGGGGAGAAACATGATGAAATTCAACAAGGGGAAGTGCAGAGTTTTACATTTGGGGAAGAACAACACCATGTCCCAGTACAGGTTGGGGGCTGAACTGCTGGAGAGTAGTGTAGGTGAAAGAGACCTGGGGGTCCTGGTAGACAGGAGGATGACCATGAGCCAGCAATGTGCCCTTGTGGCCAAGAAGGCCAATGGCATCCTGGGGTGCATTAGAAAGGGTGTGGTTAGTAGGTCAAGAGAGGTTCTCCTCCCCCTCTATTCTGCATTGGTGAGGCCACATCTGGAGTATTGTGTCCAGTTCTGGGCCCCTCAGTTCAAAAAGGACAGGGAACTGCTCGAAAGAGTCCAGCGCAGAGCTACGAAGATGATTAGGGGAGTGGAACATCTCCCTTATGAGGAAAGGCTGAGGGAGCTGGGTCTCTTTAGCTTGGAGAAAAGGAGACTGAGGGGTGACCTCATCAATGTTTACAAATATGTAAGGGGTGAGTGTCAGGGGGACGGAGTTAGGCTTTTCTCAGTGATGACCAGTGATAGGACAAGGGGTAATGGGTGTAAATTGGAGCATAGGAAGTTCAAGGTGAATATCCGAAAAAATTTTTTTACTGTGAGAGTGACAGAGCACTGGAACAGACTGCCCAGGGAGGTTGTGGAGTCTCCCTCACTGGAGACATTCAAAACCCACCTGGATGAGTTCCTGTGTGATGTACTCTAGGTGATCCTGCTCTGGCAGGGGGGTTGGACTAGATGATCTCTCGAGGTCCCTTCCAGCCCCTAAGATTCTATGATTCTATGATTCTATGATTTTTCCACCTGATAAACTGAATAAAAGTCTTTATCTTAATTCTTCTATCATGCTAGGAGGTAATACTCATGCACAGTCCCACATATGTTTTGACAACATTCAGACACTTCTATCTTCTTTAGAGCTACATAAAACATATAATATAATAAGGAAAAAAGTAATTAAAACAAAAAAGAGACTGAAGTGTGCACTTGACTTCTTAGAAGCTTTTATACATAAAGTCGTTTCCATGATATTTTTCTGGTAGAGACTCCTGATTTACTTCTTAGGCAATTGCACTCCAGGTGGAGATCCTGGACACATAATAAAGATCGTTACAAGATTGCCTGAAGTTAGGCAATGTGAAACTATGTATTGAAGAGTGAAACAAACTAAGTAGTGCTGGCTGAGAGGATTATTCAGACATCTGTAAGAGATGCATTGAAAATAAGATTGTAGCAGAGCTGACCTTTTGCACCTATCTTGACTTTGCCAGCCTAAACACCAACCCCGTTCAAGTACTGCATTCATCATACTAAAAAATTGTTAAACAGCCCTTCCTGAAAAACTACATAAGCAAACATGCATCTGCTGCTATCTTGATCTAAATCATTGTTAATATAAGCAAGCATCGCAATGCATTTTTCTTTGATTACATCACACACATTTTTCCTATAAAATTTTATATTTAGTTTTAAATCACACAGCTGTACACTTTGTGAAAAGTCAAATCATGCAATTCATTAGTTATCCAATAAAATTAATAATGAGTTCTTTATTATTTGTGTTCACTTTGAGTTCACATTGAGAACTCTCAAGTACAGCCATTTATCAGCTGTACCCTGATATGCAAGCTATAATGATAAAATAGAGCATAAAAGTAAAATCCATACATAGACAGCCTTCTCTTATCTATGCCTCATGCCACAAGACTGAGCTCTTGCAGTCATGCCAATTATTGGAGTAATGAAAAGGTCTCCAAAGGATAAGGTTTGAAAATACCTAATTTTTTTTCTTTGTGTTTAGTTGAAAGGCATGCATCTTTACTTTGGAAATACATAGCTTCCATGGAGTGACTGCATCTGCCTTTGGGTAGATTTCAGAGGAAAACTAAGTATTCAAAACTTTGTGAACCAAGCATTTTCTAATAAGGGGCTCTTTATCGAGTTCAATAGCCTTTGGAAGCAAAGTTTGGAAGTGGGCAGGAATCCTAGAGAGTCACATACAGGTAGTCACTGAGAAATTAAAAGTATATCTGTATTCTGACTTACTGCCATGCTTCTATTTCAACCAAGTATGTGTGAATGCAAAGTGTCTGTGGAAAGAGATAACTGAATTTCTGTCATAAGTTAGTGTATTTTGGCCACCAGTGAAAAAAAACACATACAGGAATTATGAAATTAGGGCTGATTCATCTGCCTGTTCAGAGATACAAGAATAACTTATCTCAGTTTTTCATTTGATACCTTCATTTCCCTCCCAGAAGCATTTTTAGTAAAACATATTAGAAAAAATGGTGCTTGGTATAAAATGCTATAACAATGATTGAAAAAGGAGATGTTAGTTCTCCATTAGACCTCATAGGTCTAGTGTCTGCTTTGGATGTTCTTATAGGGAGGCAAAGACATGCTTATGTGCCTTTCAGGAGGAAGTGAGCTCAGAATCTAGGACTCCTACATTCCAAGTTCTTCCAGCTCTGCAATCATATCTTTCTTTCACGAAGAATCTAGACATCTAGTTTCCAATTTTCTTTTTATGTCATCAAACTTTGAGAAAATGATGTACTGCAGAAAAAAAAAAATATATAATGTAACAGCATCTCCTCATGTCCCTTATTGCCCATTTTCTCCCTAAGCATAAATCTGCTCAGCTGCAAAGCTGGTAACCTGCAGCTAATCCAAACCTGATCAAACATCCAGTATATAGGACTGAGTCAGTAAGTAATGATTTATAGAATTCTTTTTCCCATTTTGTTGTCTTTATCGTGGGTTCTTGCATTTCACTAATGGCTTCAAATACTTAAATATTGTCTTACTAACATTTTAAAGTAATAACCATAGTATCAATAGTAAAAATCAATGCATACAAGAACTGACTCACTAGCTTGTTGATGGTGCTGCTCTTCACTTTGGAATGTACTTAATTCATAAATAGACATTTTTCTTTTCAATAACAAAGTCATAACGTTGTCCAGCTTCTCTACAGAAGAAAATTTAAAAGCCTGTTTAAAAAGCAAGAAAAAAAAAAATTAGCCTATTTGTTGCATATGTATTTTTAACTTTACTTTGAGTGTGCTTGTGAATCAAATTATTGAAAACTTTATTATTACAAACTCAATTTTAGTGAGAGCACCACAGTTCTCCAATGCTAAAGAAGAGAGATTCTAGTATAGAAGGATCATGCTAACATGACCCAATTGAAAAGAATCAGATGTTACAACTTCTGAAGTTCAGTCATGACTAAAAACTTGTGGATAACGAGCAAGGACATGAAGATTTGTGTTTACTGACTCCCAGTTTAGCAACAACAATGCAGTGTAGTAACCAGGAACTATTCTGACAGATGTGAGGTGCCCATAAAATCAAAGTCTTACTACAGCAGTAATTCAGTACTCACTGAAGCAACTGTATAACAGAAACTCCACTACACGGCTTCTAGACAAATTAAACCTGAAGTAAAATTCTTAATTTCCATTTTAAATAGCAGGGACACCCCTTACACATTTTGCTACCTATATAACCCCCTCTGTGCAAAATAAAAGGAACAAACAAATAAAACACACCTCAATACCACCTACCTCTTATGTCCCAAATCTGTCCCAAAATACCCAAGGAGCAATTCCAGACAGAATCAATTTTAGACTACCTTTGATATAAAAGCCAAAGAAACACTCCACAACTTCTTTTCAGCAAGCTCTTAGGGTAATCTTGCCTACAAAGCTCATCTGTTTTTTAACAGATGCTGAGGCATGAAACCTTCCTTCTCCCTTTTACTCAGGCAGAAATGCAAGGGAGGAACACCTTAAAGAGTATACAGCTCTTACATTACACTCAGAAAACTAAATTCACAAGGGATTAAAAAATGCTTTGCAATCTGACATGGAGCAAGTCCTTGACATTAGAAGAATGCACATCTTCAAGTACTTGCAGAAAATTTTTCAAGGCCACAAGCTGTTGCACAGCTTAGCCACATCAGGCTAGCTCAGTTTTTACAAGCCCCTGAGAGAGAAGTTAGGCTACCTCATCTCCCAAAGGGAACAGATGAAATTAGAACTAAACTTCTCATGCTTTAACAAGCCTACCTTCTGATCACCAGCCATTTATGTTTTCCAGGTCACTCACAATATACTTCTTATACAGTTACCAGCACAATTTGCTTCAAGTTTTTCACCTCATTTTTTTTCTGTTACTCTAGGAATCTAAAATCTGAAGGTTCACCCATAACAAGTAGCTTTGTTCTGCCACTCTACTAAAAAAACAGAGCAGGAAAATCTAGTTTAGTTATTTAAAAAAAAAAAAAAAAGCTATTCCCATACTTATATGAAGATATTACCAGAAATACCAGTGAAACAGAACTAAGAAGGGGACCACTTTGAACTCTCCAGCTTCACACCAACATAAAAGCCACATCCACCAAAAAAGAAGTCAGTTTAGAGACTTCTAGATTACTGCCAATTCCTGCTCCAGAGCACCCGAAGACTAAGTACACCACATTTACATATTTTTATGTCTCCTGCATGGGACTCTACAGGCCCATGAAATCTTTCCAAGAAATCCCACCAACACCAAGCATCAGAAGTTCACTACTTCACCTACATCTGAAGCTTCACTATAGCCAACAGACATAGAACTGTATTTAAAGTTAAGCACACTGGAAGGGAACCCTAAGCCAGTCAAGAGTTTGAGAATCCACGTATTTTACCTGAATAAAGATTTAAAATATGACAGCAAAGAAGTAAAAGCAGTACTTTCTCTCTATATCCTTGCAGGCAAGATCTTCTTTCCAGGAGCCCCTGAGAATTAAGCTAGTGAGTTCACAGGCAACCCTTCCCATGCTCTCCAAAGCACAGGCTTTTGTTCTCCACCTTAGTCCAATCTTGATCCTCCTGCAACTGCTACTTCTTGCCCTAAAGCTTATCACAAGCAGCCTGTCCTCACTAAGTATCATCTTGTCAGGTGTAGGTACTATCTCCATTCCTTTACCTCCTTTTCAGAGCAAAAGGACACAGATTTGTACAACAAAGAAGGCCCAAACGCTTACCATTACACCTGGGCTTCCAAAATCATCCTTGAAAAAGGAAAAGATGAAGTACATATTTTGCTGCTTTCGTGAATGAGATGACCTACATTCTTTATTAACTGCTAACAAAGCCCTGAAAATGTGTGCCACTGAAACACAGCATACACAGCCAGTACATTAACATATTTCTTACTGGCTTTAAGCAGTACTAACAAGGTTACATTTACATAAATATGAACTTCTTCAGCAGTTCTCACATATCAGACACCACTTTATATGCACTTCAATATCTAGATTATTTCTGCTGAAAAGAACGGGCAAAGCTTAAAAATAACTTAGGCATTTCTTAACAATTTTAACCAGTGATAGAATACGGAGATATTTCATGCTAAGAGGAAAAGAAAGAATAATTTTAAAATAGCAGTTGCTGACGTGGCTTAGAAGATTGAAGTATTAAAAACAGTTTCAAAGGAAGTATCTCTGGGGATCAGGTAAAGGTGCATACATAATATCTCCACATAAATCATACAGCTATTTCTTACAAGTTCTCACAGAAAAGGCTGCAGTTTATTTCCATTCTTCTTTTTCAATATACATTGTAATTGGAGTTCTGTTGGGTGACTATGATAAAAACAACCTTCTTAGAAACAAAGGAGTATTATTCATCCAAAGTTTGTCTTAAAGTCAAAGTAACATGAAGCTATCAATTTCAGTAATAAGGATATTAACTTTAAAAAAACACCAAACTAAGAAATCCATACCAAGGAACCTTAACACTGTGTAACTGAATCAATATTTGCATTTGTCGAAAATCTGAGAGAAAAATCAATATAACATGTAAATCCATCAAAATGTTGAAATGAGAAGTTGAGGGAAAGTAAAAAAATAAAATAAAGTTTAATTATTAATTATATGAATCTTATAATCAGTTACTGTAAGAATACAACCTCCCTAAGAGTTTCTTATAATCAGTTACTGTAAGAACACAACCTCCCTAAGAGTTTCTTTAATGCAGTATTATATGAAAGTGAGAAAACAAAAATTCATGGCCTTTAGCCAATGCCCACGCTCATATATTCTAATAGCAAGTTCATTCAGCATTATGATTCAGTTATTATGACCCCAACTCTTCCCACATTTCTATAGAATCTCAATTTTTTTTCTTTCAAAATGTATGCAAAAAAAGCTTGTTTCATATTTACTCTATATATTTCCTTACATTTTAAGTATTTATTTGGTTGTTAAAAATGTCTTGCTAATGTTGGTAAATACTTCTAAAATTCAGACAAGTCCAAGTGCAGGGTCCTGCACCTGGGTTGGCACAACCCCAGGCACAAATACAGGCCGGGGGGAGAATGGCTGGAGAACAGTCCTGAGGAGAAGGACTTGGGGGTGGTAGCTGATGAGAAGCTCAACATGAGCCACCAGTGTGTACTCACAGCCCAGAGAGCAACTGCATCCTGGGCTGCATCAATAGAAGTGTGGCCAGCAGGGCCAGGGAGGTGATTCTGCCCCTCTACTCTGCTCTGGCAAGACCCCACCTGAAGACAGGCTAAGAGAGTTGGGGCTGTTCAGTCTAGAGAAGAGAAAGCTCTAAGGAGACATTACAGCAGCCTTCCAGTACTTGAAAGGGGCCTACAGGAAAGCTGGGGAGGGGCTTTTCATCAGAGAAGATAGTGATGGGACAAGGGGTAATGGTTTTAAACTGAGAGAGGGGAGATTTAGGTTAGATACTAAGAAGAAATTCTTCACTATAAGGGTAGTGAGGAACTGGATTGGGTTGCCCAGGGAGGTTGTTGATGCCTCATCCCTGGAGGTTTTTAAGGCCAGGTTGGATGAGGTTTTGTGCAACCTGATCTAGTGATAGAGCTCCCTGCTCATGGTAGGGGGGTTGGAACTTGATGATCTTTAGGGTCCCTTCCAACCTTAATGATTCTATGATTCTAAATTTGAAACAGACAATTACAATGTATCAGAACTTCCTCTAAAACATGATGTGTGAAAATCTTAGTATACATTTTCACTACTGTTAAATTCCTCCTTAGAAAGATAAATTTATAAGTGCAATGGTATCAAACATTGTTGGTCTTCCACTAAGATATATTAACTGACCTGATAATCAGTAAAAGGAATGGACATTTTAAACATATTTGTTGTGTTTGGTTTATCTGTTTGGCTTTACTGGGGCACAAAGTGAAGAGGACAATAATCTCAATGACAACAGCACCTCAGAGTAGCTCGAAGGGTTGTAAACAATATACAATACAATTAAAGCATTATACCAAAGCATTGTGTCGTTATTATGCATTACTGTAGCAATCTGCTTTCACCACAGAATTTTAATAAGGAGCTAATTCTCAGATTGCAAAGCATTTGTTAACATCTTGAACTTTTCTTTGAACCATGAAGTGACACTGCTTTGATCAATAATTGCAGTAAGATTTTCTATTTTATTTTAATTTCGTTTCCCATTGTGTTTGATTGTTACTTTGCATTGATAAACCACTGTTGCTCCAGGATACTTTTGCATATAAGCTGATAGTCTCGAAGTTTTTAATTATCCTGGTTCAATAAAAGTTACTCCTGCTAGTTGATGGGAATTCTAATTAGTATTAAGTCTGTTTTTTCTTTCCTTGTGTGAACATATTTTTAAAGATTAAACTAAATTATGTTCTGCAAATTGCATTTTTAAAATGTATCTTATTGCTATTAAATTAGGTTTACATGAGAGCTTAAAGTATTTAAAAAGCTGCTGGTAACAGTTTAGCTACCTAGCTAGTGTGCCTCGCTCTGTGGCCCAGCATGTACCATTAAACATGATGATAAATCTTTCAACACTTATGTACACTTACAAAAGAAGTAGCATTAGCATACTTTCCCACAGAGCAGCCATGATATTGTTTGGATTGTAAAAATTGCATGATTATCAGACTTTTCTCTGCATTACTTTTTCAGTTACCAAAACAATAACATTTAGAGTGGTCAAACACTGTCTCCTCATTTAAACTCTTGCTTATTATCTGCATGAGTATAGGTCAGACATATGTTAAACATACCTGACAGTTATAACACTACAGCTATTTTTCCTGGTGTGCACTACTGTTCTGCAAAGAATTATTTTTGCATTTGCATATGATCTGAATTGTATGTGGCTTGCTAAATATTAATCATGGTGATTATATGAAGGGTCAAACTCCTGAATGACACAAAATTGTCCAGTGGAAATACCAGGTGTGTTACAGGTATCCAGGTTACCTTGACAATTATATTTTTTTAATAATTATAGCACACTTATGCATAAAATTTTAAATGAAACCTGTTAGAAGCTTACTTCAATGTCCTTCAAAATACAAGCTTTAGAATGATGGATACTATAAAGGTTTTAAGAACATACTTGTACTTAAGAGTTGCACTATACTTCTTGTGCAGCAGCCTGTTTTCTTACAACAAAAATGACTTATATTTGGAAGGAATCTACCCCCATCCTTAATAGAATACTAAGACTGCAATACATCATTTTTTATTAATCCTTTCGTTATGAGAGTAATGCCTTAGGTGGTAGATAAGGTAGATTTGTCACAGGAAAATGAGACTGTCTGCACTGGAAACACAGACTATTATTTTTGTTCTGGCTTCGCAATTACAATATAGACATTATGACAAGTCTGCTTGGGCTACCCACCATTCAACAAATGATACTTGAGATTCCACTCTTACTTACAAAATAAGAAAAGAAAGCATTTAGTATGTGCCACTGGCAAAGGACATACTGCAGAGCACTGCAGTGTGCTGTGCTGCTTTGAAACCCAGCTCAAAATCTGAATTTTTCTAAATATATGCAAAGAATCTGCACTGCAACTGGCAAAGCACATGAATGATAATTCAGCAGCTTTAAAAGGATGCAACCTACTGTCTTCTATAAAAGCTATGCAAGAAAAATCCCATTTGCTGGTGAGTTAATAATAATCCTCTAAATACAATGTGATTTAAGATTATTTGCTTCTATTGGTTTTAGAAATACTAAAAATAACACATTCAATGGAGAGGGGCATTGCTACTATACATATACAGCACAAAGGATGTTTACATCTCTCTCTAAACAAAAACAAAACAAAGGGAGAAAACTTGTTTTCACTTGTCTGACTTGCTTATAACTAGGCCTGTCTCAAAGGCAGGCCTCTGTAATTCTGAGTCTATTATTGAGACATTACTCATGACTGTGTGACCAAAAAAGTCTTTTTAGCACAGTGTGCTACCTCTTAGCTCATACTGGCACTTTTTTTTTTTTTTTTTAAATTAAAACACAGAAGTCAACTTACCTGACAAATGAAAGCTATTGGGTCAGCCACTTGCTTAAAAATGTGTTCCACCTCCTCTAGTACAGTATAGTACTTGATCTGCGCTGTGGTCTTAATGACTCCCCCACAGTAGACATTTACAAATACAGGGCCAGCAGGGAAATCTTATGAAACACAAATCAGAACAGTAGCTGAAATTCTTTACAATTCGAGACCAGAGGTCTCAGGGAATGAGTAAAATGACAGGAGAATATCACAGAAAATGCCTAGTGTTGATGAACTGGATTTGCATTTCACAGATGATTCAGTGTAGTCAGTTTTTTATCCAAGTCTTTCAGTCTTAGCATTTAAAAAGCTGACAAAAATACATACAGGTAAATCTGTATAAAACAAAGCTGTAGTCTTGTGTCATATTAGAAAGGAGATGAAAGCAGTATCCTTCAAATTTCCAACTTCTCTTTGATAGAATGATGAGCTATAATCAACTATTATGCCTACAAATTAAGGAAAAGTTCACTTATTACAAATAGTGGAACTGCTAGTCATCTTTTGAAACACTTTTCTTAATTGCAGGCAAGATATTAAAAATTGAAATTGCAGTATAATTACTTCCATTCCACTTGTTTACCTAGTAAAAGCAAAGAAAAGAGACATTTGAACAGTTTGTTACTTAAGTATGACCTGCTCTGTGTGTGCAGCATGAGACCTCTTCATGAGCACATTTTACAGTTCATTAGTATTCATTGTGCCAGAGAAGCTGCTGTACCAGAGCAGCACTACCATGGTTTTCTTAAAATTCTAACTGCCCACAAAAGAGCGATAAAAATGGGCAACCCTGAAAATGGAAAGGAGTAATAGGACCAAAGAAATTAAATTAATAAAACATCATCTTAAATCACTTAAATGGAAAATGACCAAATATTTGGTTTTTTTCTTTTTAAATCTTGCAACTTCAGATCAGCTGGACTGTTATTAAAAAAAGATACTCCCAAACTTCCAACTTTTCCAGATTTTTAAACAGAAAAAAGCCTACAGAAAGAAGCATTAAGCACAAATGCCAAAATCACCATAATATTTAATGTACTGTCCATATTTTTTATCTTCATCCCAATCAGGTCTCTCAAAACAAACTCTGCACCATCATAGTGATCAACAACTATCAAGCCATATGTGGCCATTGTCTCAGAGCAGTGTTCAAGATGAAAATCAGGCCACAGTATTATCCAAATGTAGCTCCAAAAAGCCACTGTTGAAAATTATAGCCTCTCTCAATATATATATTTCTTGCTATCTAATGTTGTATTGCAGTGGTTTTAGAATAAAATAGTACGTAAGTTCCTTTGGGAATTCACAACATGTAGTGGAGTAGCAAGCTACACTGAATAATTAGATGAAAAGCTTTTTATCTCTTATATCAAGTGAGCGGGGACAGGTGTGCCCTTAAATCTGCACAGATCTCCTAAGATAAACTGTTGTTAGCTAGTTGAAATTAGTTATGGATGGAGCAGTTGAAAAAAATTATTAGAAACAAGCAGAACTGAGTGACACTGTGAAATCGCATAGACATTAACAAAGAAAAATATTAGTAATAATTATAGAGAGCAGTATGACTAAATTTACTGTACTAAATATAAAGTATTTTATTAATAGAGTAATAAGAAAAGAATATTAACTTTATATTTTATGGCAGTGATTTTGAAGAATGTTCATCTGTGACTACCTGATGACATTTTAAGAATACTCCCTGCCATTTAACCACACACAATCTCATAGGACCTAATTTCCCATAAATCACAAGGCCTTTCTTCTCTGCATTATTAATAAATATTCTGTGTGCATAACCCATGTACAGGAAACACCTACAAAACAGCAGGAAGTGAAACTAATTATCAGAAAAAATGAAGGGAGTAAAAAATTTTATGTTCACTTAAAGGTAAAGAATGTTTTTCTTACCCAAAGCTTTTATGTACTTGACCTTCTTATTCCAAGAGGCTGGCTGTGTCCTAATTCGTTTATTATCTGCTACGAATTCAATTTCTAAAGTTTCATAATCTATTTCATCTTTCAACAAAATGAATATTTCACCAGGGTTCTATAAAATTAAAATACATTCCCATTAGTCTTTCAGAACACTATACTGAAAGTGTAAAATGCAAATGAAAACCTAAGATGAAAGGAAGTTCCGTTATCAACAGCTTCATGCAAAAAACCCATAATACCAAAATACAACGCCACCTCAGTGTTATCCTTCAGTATTTTACTGACATAACTGACAAAATTAATATCGTGTTTTAATTTCAGCTTACCTAGCAATATTTTTAAACAGCATTTTAAATGCACATGTAGTTGAATACTTACATTTTCTAAGACCATTCTACTTCAGTCTAGAATGACATTCAGCCTAACAGGCTAAATACTAAACCTAAACTAACCTAAGATACTCTAGATTCACTTAAACTCTTACTGTGAACTGACAGTAAATACAGAAGCAGTAGGTAATATGAGCCAATACCCTTCTACTGCCTTCTGAACCAGAGGGAAAGTTAATCCTTTAGAACCGTGCTGATTTCAACAATTACGTGTGTGAGTCACCTTTGAAAGCAAAGCAAAATATGTGACATCCAAAAATATGTAACATCCAAAATGCTTACCTCACATGATATTCTTCTTGGAAGCACCAATATTGACTGCTTGTTAGTTTCTAAAGTTTCAGAAAGTACCTCTGTTTTAAATCTGTGGTCTCCTTGCTGTGATGCCTCCCCGGCATCTGACAATTTAACATCACAGCTACTCTGGTGATCTGAAATAAATAATGTGGAATGAGGACATTGTTAGTAACCCCAGATCAGAACACACAACAATGATGTGATTTCCAACATACTAGAAACTCATATGGCACTTGGAGTAATCTTAAGGGCACAGCATGAAAGCCTGGCAAAATTCCTGAAAGGAATGTAAATTCACATGTAAACATGGTGAGGTTCCCCCCTTGATAAAGAGCTTGCCTCTGAAGTTCTGATCCTGCAGCCTTTATCTATATGAACAGGCTCTCCTTATATACTTTGTCTTGCTAAAGTCAAGACCAAAGTCATCATGACCAAGGAGGTCACAGAGATAGGCAGTTCCGTGGTCTCAGAAGAACAAACTCTCATACACTGGGATAAACTGGTATTTTACTACCCTCATTTGCTCTATATGTAAACAAGGGGATGCTACACATCTATAGCAGTCCACCTGCCTACAGAAAGGGTTTATGTGAGAGCAGTGATACCTGAGACTGGATAACTGTGACAGCAGACACAGATATCCTTGACACAAAATTCATAGTCTTCGCCTTCCTTAATGGACAAAATGATGGACTGAAGGCATACATTTTTGAATTGGATATTCTAGGTGTGGAACCAGCTCGCAACCAGTTTCTTTTCTTTTTTGCTGTACCAGTAAAGAACCAAGAGCCAAATCACAGAACCAAGAACCAAATCACAGAATTTTAATGAGGAAATATAAAAAAACTGACAACTGCATCCGCAGAGCTCTGACTAAGCCTGTGTTTTAGAAAATCTATTCTTCACACCTGGTACTTTTCAGCTGTATCATTACTATTCCTTTCCAGACACTCTATAACCCTGTACAGAATGCTCTTGTCACCCATCTCAAAGGACTGCAGCAGCTCTTCATCACACAGGGTTACCCAGCATATTGCAGGTACCTAGTTAGATTAATGACATCACTACAAGCAGCTCAGTGTTAAAAAATTTTGACTGGCTGGTGAGAAAATACCCTAAGAGATATCAACAGTATCATGTATTATTGTAAATTATGGAACACTCACAGTCAATTATGTTAAAGGACACAAATAACTTTTCAGGCATATCTTTTCCTCTTACATGGATGTACATTAATATAAATTACTGACAGGCAGAATACAGAACAGCAGCAATCCGGCTTTGCACAAACAAGTATTACAGCCATTTTCAGTTTTTGCCAAAAATGCCCAAGTGACTGACTAACCCACACAGCACTAAGGTACAGAACTCCTTCCATTCAGCATCAGTACTGGTAATTTACAATTAGTTTTCCCACATCTTGCTTGCTTTTATTTCCTCCATATGTACCAGCTGGTCTCATACAGAATGTTCCATTTTCTGACCAACCTTGCCATGCTTAAGAAATCATAGATTTAAATAAACAACTTCTAAAATAAGTATGCCTGCTAAGTGAAGTTATGCCAGAGAATGTAGTACAGGAACCAGGTTATGCTAAATGTAGATTTCCTTTCCCCCGCCCCGGAGATGTGCTTTGTTAGAGAGAGCTTAGAGAAAAGAACTATCATTTGCTCATATTTTGTTGAGGAAGCTAAAGATTCTTCACCAGCTAGTAAAATCTCCTGAGTCTGTTTCTGCTTATATTCTCATGCTGTAATACAAACTAATTCTGAATTTTAGCTACTAATTCAGTGTAGGTTTGCAAGATTACACTAAATATGTATGTAGACATACTTTACTGAATCGAAGCACTTTAAATTCCATTTGCTTTAACTTATTTTGAAAAATAAATAGGCTGCACTGAATGAAGGCTATTTTGATTCTGAATGAGAATCCACCTACAGTTCAATGCAGTTTAACTAATCCAGCTCAAAAAAATATAAGTACACCAATTTCTGTTTATCACTGTGAAGATTAGATTTTATTTAGCATTGTCCTTCAGAAAAAGGAAAGCTTGAACCCATGTTGAGGGAAACAGTTAGATACTCTATGCCCACAGCATGTACTTAGGGAATATCATGTGTTCATGTTTTAAATCACTGAAAAATCTTATACATAAGTACACAGAATTTACTCCAGAAGACAACTTATATGGCCGAAAATGTTTCAGAACTTTTTCTGCCACTTTAGGAGAAGGAGTCTTATGAAGACAAGAAACATTTCATTATCGGGTTTTAGTGGTGGACCTGGCAGTGCTTGCTTAACAGTTGGACTTGATGATCTTAAAGGTGTATTCCAACCAAAACAATTCTATTGTAAAACTATGACTGAACAACCAAACTGGCAGACACTGGATTCTCAAATGCTGGCTCTCTGTCAGTGATTGTTCTTCTAGGATCATGTAGATAGCATTCTAATCTATGTGAAGTTAATGACAGCTTTATTTCTACAGCCTGTACTCAAAGATGATAGTAGCTACTTCTACCTTTTAATGTCCACAATAATTAATCTACTTATAAGTTGAATGTTAGTGCTAACAAGTTGGTTTAAAATAGGATGTTTTCCTCCAACATTAATTCCATTTTGATATTTTAATGCCTAGTGATATATAATTACAGTATTAGGAATTAAACCCACTCAGCATTGGGATTGCAGAGCCCTAACGTTTAGAGAAATGATTAAGAAATGAGGCTCTTGCATCAGACTCAAAGAGAATGAGGGATTCCCCTGCTGACTGTGTGGTGGTGGTGCACTCAGCCTCCTGCCCCACTGGGCTGTACTGTGATGTCAACACTAGCCAACACTGTACCTCTATATTTCTGTGTGTGTAAGCAGCTTGGTTCAGAAACTTTAATCTTTAATTGAACTACTGTGCTTGACTATATCAAATTGTTTATTATTAAGAGTTGCCATTAAGTATTTCTAGCAAATCATATAACTTAATTCTGTTATTTGTTAGAATAGTGTCAACCAACCTCAAATTGCTGCTATTCCAAATCACACCAGACACAAAGCACTACACTGTAATCCCTACACTTAAAGCCTTTAGTCATAAACTGTTGACAAAGTCTGGGACTAGGAGTGAATCCAGCCATACCTAGGGAGTCCTCTCTGAGAAGGAGTGTAGAAAACAAAAGGGTCCATTCTGAACCTTGTGACTCAACAGGAAGGCCATCCTCACTCTTTTCCTCTGATCCCTGTGTAAATCACACCAATTCCAACCCCTGCACATTCCTTCCAGATAGTAAGTAGTTGAGTGAACTGTGCTACTGAACTCTGTTAAAGTCATACTTTTGTAAATCTACACTATAGTCACCTTTTCCTTGTATCTTTGTCAGTGATCCTTTAAGCAGTCATAAGACCTTCCATTCCCATCTGTGACACTGTGAAAGTGGTTAGCAATTTATAAGCTAAAAACCATCAAGCAAGACATCTATCACTAAATGTTGGGTCTACTTCACAATCAATAAAAGCTACATACCACAAGTCAAATCAATATTATCACTACTATATATTTAATAACCGAGTCCAGAGTCACCATCTCCAAAGCCCAGATTCCTACCAGCAGTTACACTATCTGTCCTAAAACATGGAACATGAAACAACACATAAAGTGTTATTTGTAAATGCTGAACAAGCAATATGCCAGAGGTTAAGCAAGACTTGGCTTAGTAGCATTAACTAAAACAATGTAGCTCATTAGGGCTTCATGCTACAGTGATGAGATTCTAGTAACAAAAATGGACCACATGTACAGACATTATCTGTTTAATATACACAGAAAGAGTTGTCTGATGTACAGGTCTTTTGAAAACTTGAATTTTGGACTTCACTGTGAATCCTCTTCACTATCTTGCTTTTAACCTGAAAGCAATGGCCAGGGTGCTCCACTAATTGTTAAGACTTTCAGAAAAATGATAATTTAAGAAGAATTTACAATTGTAGGCAAAGATTATCTTAAAAGAAACAAAAAACCCCATAATTTAGTGCTGGAATATCTAAGATATCGGATTTATTAAAGAGTATTTGTTGCTTGGTGAATGCATTCTTTTAATGTTTTATATAATGGTGACCTATCACAAAGTTCTTAAAATGCAGCACTGCTGATTAAAATAATGAATAAATAAACTTGGACCCTTTCTTTTAGGATTAAAGTGTAATGAGACCAGCTTCAAGGACCTATTGGGTTGGGCTTTGAGCAACCTGGTCTAGTGGGAGGTGTCCCTGCCCATGGCAGAGGAGTTGGAAATAGATGATCTTTAAGGTCCAAACTAAATGATTCTATGATAAGAAATTATAAGCTATACCTAATGATGGTTAGACAGCATTATGATCTAGAAACTGAAAGAAAAATCTATTCTAATCTTCCCTTGAGTATTCTGGGTAGTCCTACTGGGAATTGGCATTTATTATAGAGGATAATGCTTAATTTGCATCAGGTTTTGTTGGCTTACTTTTGACAAATACCTACTGCTGATGGTCACAGTGAAAGGACTGATCCTAAATGTAAGTTCATATTTAAATAAGAAAATATTACACACATTTACTGTAACAGTTATTCACTTAATTGGGCACAGTGCTGATGTTTTCAATTTTACTTCAATGTTCTCTCCTAATTCATTAACTTCAATACATTAATTTTATATACTTTACACAAAACCTTTTTGAATGCATAATTACTTTCAATTTAATATTTCCAACTGAATTCATATTAGTTTGAAATTGCATTCCTTTGCATGAACTGAGAAATTTTAATGAAGCCTCTTAGTCTCTTGTGGATTTAACAATTAATGCCTCACTATGGCTTCTGAAAAACTTTCATGCTACATCCAGTCTCCCTTCTATCCCCAAATTTCAACTTGTCAAATTCACTTGGTATGTGATACATGTTTTGAGTCAACAATGTATGTGACAGATTTAGGGTATTAAAAATAGCAGAAAACAAACTTATGAAAGATTTATGCGTTTTCTAAGGCTACACATGAAATTAATCTCACAGCCAAAATTTAGTTGATTTTACAAAAGCAAAATGCCTGCCAGCTTTACAAATTTCATTTCTTCCTCAAGTCTTGTTAAAGCAATGCTAGCTGAAGAA